AAGGGGAAGGAAGGAAAGAGAATTTTTTTATTCATGCTTCCAGTTTAAAAAAAAAAAAAAAGTCCCTTTTGCAAGTAGGCTGAGTGCCGCTGATTTGACCATGAAACTCAGGTTTTCTGATTTGTATCTTGTCCTAGCTTTGCCTGACTTTATGTTCTACTGTGACACGGATGCACACAAGCCCCTCCTTCTCCACTTTCTCCTGTGTACCTACAGGAAGAAAATGTGAATGTGCAGGCTGGGAGGGAGATGGGTGGTTTCCAGTCAGATGTTCGATCCGGGTGACGGAGGATCAAGACTGACTTAGTTCTGCTTAGTGCACCTGCCCTGTAATTCAAACATATTGTCTGAGTCAATTGAAAAATTCTGAAAATTTTGTTCTAAAGCACTTCAGAATGTGGCTTACTCGAATCCCATGTGTTTTTTGTTTATCTAAGGCGGCAGACAGATGTCTGCATCCAGATCTTGCTGTGATAGTACAAGTTATCTCTCCCAGCTGTTTATATTGCTGTCCTAGAGGTGATTGCCTGCTCGGATCTGCTGGTAAAGCTATTCACACAACTGTTCCTTGACCCACTGGCATTAAAATAAGCTGGCTTAAATGTACAATGGCTAATACATGTGCAATTCATATGGCAGGTCAGAGACCATAAATCCAGGAAGGGTGAGAGTTGTTAAAAGCATCTAAAAATGGGAGCAGCAGTCTGGAAAACGATGTTTATGCCCAGCTTACATGTGTTTTGAAGTTGGTATTGAAGTTTCTCAGCCACTTTGGTGAAACATTATCGTCATATGAAGGGGATCAAGAGTATACTTGTTTGATGGTGATGCTAACAAAGATGTATCAGATTCTGGAGGCAAACTCCTTGAGTGCTTATCACCATTAAAAGACGTTCTGTGCTTCAAACCAGGGAATGGAGATTTTCTCCCTTCCTGAAGGCAGAAGCCAGATCTCCAGAGCTAACCGTTGGGATGTATCAGCTAGTGCCCTGTACAGCACTCAGTTCAGCATATTGAGAAAAGGAAGGAAGTTAGCAAGCTGTTTATTTTGTACTTCTCTCCAGCTCCGCTGAACTATTCCTTTTTGGGTTAACACTTAAAAAAAAAATCCCGATTACAGATTGTTTGTTACAGGTAACAGATGCCCCCCAAAAAAGCACTAAAAAAAGATTTGATAGTGTTCATTTTAAATAATAGGATGCATAGAAATATGATGCTTCTAACTCAAATATGAGCTGATGTGAAGCCCGAGACAAAAGTCATTGTAAATCCAAGGGGGAAATAATACAGAATAAAATAAATATAGCAACTACATATTCTCACTTATAGTTGCTAGAAAATGCAGCTTAAAATTGAACAAAGTGAATGTAAGCTTGCATTGAAAGCTTAGTGTAATAGCACAAAAGATTTTGAGCAGGCAGAGGGGCTGAGATACTGAATGTTTTAAGTCTAGGGTATATCTACATGTGCATGCACAGGCTGTACTGTTAGACATATGTTGCTAGCTTTATAAGCCCAGGCCGTTGTTTTAAATCCCAGCCTTTACATAAATGGATTTCAGTAATCCTCAAAAGTCAGTGGAGGTTGCCGTTGCACATTAGCAAGTAGACCAGTACAAAGGGAGTTGATCAGAAGTAAGACAAAGTCTAATTCATTTGTTTTAATGACAAAAACATCGGGAAGACAGAGGAAGCATCTCAAGAAAGAATAACATCAGCAGAATGAACTTGATTTCAGGACTATTTTCTTTAAATGATTTATCAGTACGGATGCATATGATATACAGGGTGTTGCAGCTGTCTGTAAAATCTCGCACTGTATTTTTTGGCCATTTGGTGCTTGTAAGGACTTGTTATAGACTCGTCATATCATGAGAACTTGCATGGTGAACTTGACAGAAAGGAAAGTGAACAGAGTGTCTTCAGAAGCTATATGGAAGGGACAGATAAGCCAGCAACAACAGAATAGAGGAAAGTAGTCTAATGTAGCTCTTTCTTCTATTCATAGTATTTAATAAGACTAGAGGGTTCTCTCCCTCTTTTGGAACTTACTCTGCAAAATCTTTCTATAATAATCTGGGTTACTTCCATCTTCTTACGACTGCTTTACAAGGCAGAACATGAACTCCTGTGTTTGGTGTTTTGAACTTTCTCCTGCTTCCTTCCAGAAAATGTTTCTATTTTCCACTGGATTCCCCAGCACTTACTGACTCATGATGTGCTCTGATTCTGATTATAGATCTGCATAAATACTGTTTTTTTGTTGTAGTCCTCTATCATAGAGAAATGGTGTGATGGTAGCTTTTCTTTTCAAGCCACGGATATGTATACATTATCAAGAAACCGGTCAGCGTTCTCTGTGTTTGGATACTACAGGATACTTTCCTGTTTTGCATGTTTATAAAGCAAACCTGTTCCTTGCCTGTTTATAGAAAGTGTTCAACTGTTTGGTTGAAACACTCCGCCCTGCTAGGAGGTGTTTAATGTACTGGGAAAGTGGTGTCAGGCTCCACTGACTCACTGAGGCAGGTGACTCATTGCCGGTCATTGAAGTCACTGGAAGGACTGCAGTTAACTCACTGGTAGCTAGATTTACTCCTAGTGGCATCTTCTCTTCAATTAAGTCCAAGCATGTGACTAGAACTAACATATGCACAACTTAGTACGTTTGAGTAGCTCCACTGAATTTGTTTGCTAGTCGCATTACGTTTAGATTGAGTACAAATTCTCTTTTGGATCCATCTGTGCAGGAAGAGATGGCTGTTACCCTATATTTACTCTCAGCTGCTTGCTGTTGCCCCTTGCTGCCTTTTTTCCATACCTTCTCATTGGGCTGCTCATTTGAATTTCTGAATTCTGAATTTGAATTTCTGGATTTCTGAGTATTCTTGAGTCCGGGTGAGGTATGTTAGCAAAGAAGTACTACCTAGATTGTTTAAACTACCCTGGTTTATTTTGCCCTTTTATTTTGGTATCCTTGCATAAGTGCCTCTGAGAAGCATTGAAAATAGCAGGAGGGTGGTAAAAGAGCAGGGCAGATCTTAGAGCAGTAATCTCTTCTGCTGTGTATTTAAGGTCTATTTCTCTACATTGATTTAAGTTTATGTAGTGGGACTATATTTAGTTAACTTTCAATCCAGGTTAGGCTCAGAGCCACAATCACCATTTATGAAGTTAAGTATATATGTAATCTTTGCATAAGAGAATTTTGAGACTGTAAGCTGTTTAGGCAGAGTAGCATGCTGTCTCATGTACCCAGGCGCCACGGAACACAACAAAGTGTAACATTTGTCTTGGGCCTCTGGATATGTATTTAAATCTTATAACAGTAGGACTGTATGGAGATACGGTCTTTTCTAGATATTTTACAGTTGAAAGTAGTTTTCAAGTTTGCGAGTTGTTTTAGCTAAACTACTGCTACTGTTACTAGCAGTAGTTTTCTGAAAAGTGTACACCCATATTTATATAGAAAACCCTCTGACGAGTCATAGAATTACCTGCTAAATAAGTTTAACAATTTCAGTATGCGTTTTCTTTTTCACTGAAATTGTGACTATATACTTTTCTGCATTTGATGCTTTAAACCTGTTAAAAGTATTAACTATACCAGTTATTTCTGATACGTTTAGACCCATGTTCAAAATATAAACTAAAACCTGATCAGTTGTTTCTGATATGCTTAGACGCGTTCTGTGTACTTGTCAAGGGATGCAGTTAACTAAGTACTATATTTATTTTCACGCTAAAGTTTAGTTTCAAGTGATGTATAATTATGCTTATGGACCTGTGGTAAGTTTGAGAGTCCAGACAACTTTACTTCCGCTTTAAAATGAACAAAAATATTAATGTAGAGCACTACTTCCTTAAAGGAAAAATATAAGACATCACTCTATTTAAAGCTACTGAGAATATTTATTTTACAGCTTCTCAAAGGAGATTAAGATATGTTTCCTGTATGATAGTATTCTTTGACAATTCGTGGTTCTCATATCAGGAGACTGCAAAAGCAAGCCTATTTTTAATTAAAATATTTTAGGTATAGTCTCAGTAAAGTATACGGAATGTGTTCCTCCTTTTCCTCCCTCCACCCCAAAACGATTGCCAGCTGCATGGCAAAAGTTTTCTTTTTCTGTAGCTCTAGACTTTATACATTATCACCATCTTTCATATGTTTCATTGCTTATCTTACATTCAGCACAAATTTTGTGGAACGCAGTATGATGTTTCAGAAAAATGTGTGGTCCTTCGTTAAAGTCACGAAACTCTCACCTTTCAAAGAATTTCCAAGCGCTTATTTTAAGGAAAGAAAGAACAGGCATGCTTCTTGAAATGAATGTGTCATTAAGTTTTTACTAATTACAGCATCCTAGGAAAAGTCTACATTATTCCTGCATTTTGTATTTGTCTAAAGAGAAAGCAACACTCCTGGTAATAAAAAAAATTAAAAATAAAAAAAAAAGAGATGCTTTTTGTTCACTTTTGTAAGGAGGTTTGCAGAAGTGGCATGACTTGAAGGAAATGATTGCCACCATTTGGCATTGGCTGAAGTGAGTTGCCACTTCTGTGCAAATAAATCTTTTTTCCTTTAAATTAAAGATTTAGCCATTCATGAGCTTTTCTAAATCAAGCCCTGTATGTTAATTACTCAGAAATCAATGTTTGCATAAGATTTTTAAGATGTTCTTCATAGTTATGAGACTGTAACTGAGCTATCCTGTGTGATTCCTCCTTCCAGATATAATTTTTGTAGTTGGGACTAGTTTAAAATAGACCAGATTAGGCTAATGATTAAAAAAAAAAAAAAACAGTAATAGTGTTCATAGTTTTTGGCATGTGTGGTATGTGTTTTCTCTCTTTCAATTAGTATTTCCAAGGGGATTGCTCGGATCATCTAGGCTTCCACACTCACCTTTATTCCACTAACTTTTTTCACCCTGAGCAAATGTATGTGCACCTCACTACTGGATGACTCACTATGGCTTTCAGTTATGCAAAAGTCATGAATGAAATTTCACCAGCTATCTTGTATTCTTTTTGGAAATGTTCCGCTGTTGCACTGTCACCAGATCCTTGACACCGCTGTTGAACCTGGAATGCTAGTGTAGGTGGGTTAAGCAGCTGGCATTTAGCTGTCATCTCAACTGCACAAGACATGATGGCAGAAAGGAATGTGCCCAGTCTGCAGCAGTGTTCCCTGTATGTTACTTCTAAGTGCGTTGCCGTAAAAAAGAAAGTTAAAAATGAAGTGTTTAATATTAGATGACATCAGAAAGTCCTGTGTGTTGTGGGCTGTGATTAGAATGGCTTGCTTTTTGCAGAATGTACAGCTTTTGAGAATACTTGCCCTTCCTTTTGACAGGCTTTGCTGGTACTCCAGGATACCTTTCTCCAGAGGTCTTACGAAAAGATCCCTATGGAAAACCTGTGGATATGTGGGCATGTGGTAAGAAATGATTGTGAAAGGCAGTGTTCAGTCCACTTTAAAGAAAAAGTAGTTTAGCGGAGAGAGGTGATATCAGAGTACGTTATATTCCACATCAGAAAATATATATTTAGTGAAATTCAATATTCATTTATAGAAGTCTTCAGATTTCTTACTATTCTTCCAGCTTTATTTTTCATTATTATTTGTGAAGATGTGTTGTCACTGCATTCTTGGCCATGACTGCACAGCACACATTAATGTTTTAACAAACTACCTGGAGATGCACTATGCCTAACCAGTTACAAAACATAACAATTTATACTGTAAGCTGAATCTTAATTTGGTTCACCTAAAAACTGATCTGACCAAGATATTAGAACTGCAATTAAAAATTTTCCAACTAAGTTTTTTTTGTAACTAGAATGCAGAACAATTTTTTTTTTTTATCGTTCAGTTCTTTGAAACAGTGCAACTTATGGTACTGGCAAGGGGTAACCAGCCACCTGAGAGTTAGTATTTTTCCTTCTCCTCACACTTACTTGGTTGTGTTTATGAAAGTATTTCTTTTAGTCGGCGGGGAGCCATCTCTGTAAAACTAGCAGGTTGGACTTTTAAATTTACCATCAGCTGAGTGTTTATAGAGATTGGAGTTGCCCCAATTTTCTTTGCATGAGGTTTAGTTAAACTCTAACTTAAAGACACCACTTCAGGCCACAGTACACCAGAGGTAACCAATTCCTTTTGCATAGAATATCTTTTATAAGTTGAGCACTGAAAAGTGCAAATCAGTTCCTCCTGGCAGCTAGACAGCGTGCCTGATCTGATTTCGTGTCAGATATAAATTCTTGCCCACAGTCTGTATAGGATGTTGCCCTGTGAGAACCCTATGTTTGCAGTTATCGCCAGCATAAATTGGCAGTATTTTTCAGTAGCTAGGATACCGCTGTTGAGCCATTTGTTTTATATGTACTCCAGGTACAAAATGGATTTCTGCAGTTTATTTCTCTAAATCACTTAATACTATTCTAAAATTTCTGCAGGTGTCATTCTCTATATCCTCTTGGTAGGATATCCTCCTTTCTGGGATGAAGACCAGCACAGACTCTACCAGCAGATCAAGGCCGGTGCTTACGATGTACGTGCTGTACTCTGTCTACGTAGCTAATTGTACCTCTCAGTAGTTTTCTAGAATAAAAAGTTAACTTAAAATTATTACCTGATTTGTTTTTTGGGTTTTTTTTTTTTTGTATGGGTTACATTTATGACCTACTTGCCATGGCAAATATCGCTTTGGTAACATGAACTTTATACAGATGGGAACATCCTATGTTAATTTAAATCTGATTTCCTTATGCTCCTAGTTTCATTGTCTGGCCCTTGTGTAAGTCCTGCCAAGGTTATGTTCTCCTGACGAGTCTGTTCAGACCTCTGTGCTTCTGATAAATATTTCTGAACTCCAAGATGCCTGTGTTTTTATCTTGTGGTTTATCACTTAAACCAATCAATTATTCTAAATTGTTTTTATAATGTCTTGGGCTGCCTGAATATAAACTGCAGTACTGTTATATTTCCTACTTTTGTAAATACAAGCCAACATAGAGCTCTTCAAAAGAAATAGTTTCTTTACCTATATATGTGTTCCAGCAATAAGCATCATGACTGCTGGTAAGTATTTGGAAAATTGAACTGATATTTTCATGACATAGATGAATTTTGCAATATCATCCATTTATACTAAGTTAAACAGATAGAGGCTGTTGTTGCTCAAATTTAAGCCATTTGTGAATGACGAAGAACAAAAAATACAGCACCTTTTATCTTTTAAGCTACTTACTTGAAACCAGTCCTGGAGCGATAATGACTGAAAAGTGATGGTCGTGCTATGGCCTTTTAGTGGAAATGAATTTATGGTCTGTCTAGTCTTCATCATAGTGAACAAGTAATCATATAACAATAAACAAGATGACAGTGGGAATTACAGTTTCAGCTGAGAAGGCAAGAGATGAGTAAGTGCAGAGACTGAGCTATGCGTCTGTATTGTACATCCATGGTACATGCTTGTGAAGAACTTTGCCTGGATTATAACAAATTCCTATGATCTAAAAATAATCATTTTTTAATAGGGATACCTCAAAATGAAATGCTCAAGCTTAAGGTCTGCCTTCGCAAAAGCAGTGATATGCATATTTTTCATTCCATTTGCATTTGAGCAGACACTTTGAGTGCATGTGTAAATATTTTGCTGAGCAAGGAGGTGTTAATTTAATGACTGATCAGATTTATACACCATAACTATACAGTTAGCATTAAGATTGACATTGAAAGAAAGCAAACAAGGAGATTGTATAATACTTAATATCTTTATCTTTATTAAACTGAAGCTAGGACTGTATTAGACGCTGCATGACCATATGCCTCCAAGTTAGATTTTGTTATTCCACTTGCCATTGTTATTTTATCCTATGACTTTAAATTAGCATCACGTTACTGTAAACATAAATGCTGTACATCTGAATCAAATCAATAAAAAATTAGAGTAGTAAGGGAGGAAAACACTATTTATAAAACCAGCTAGTTCAGACTATTCTAGTTGTGGCAAACTGCTTTGTTTTTTTTTTTTTTTCCTTAAAACCATTAAAACACGTAAAAGCATGTAGAGATCATGCAAGTTAATATAAACATACATGTTTTTTCTTAAGTTTCCATCACCAGAGTGGGATACAGTGACTCCTGAAGCAAAAGATCTTATCAATAAAATGCTTACTATTAACCCAGCAAAACGTATCACAGCATCAGAAGCACTAAAGCATCCATGGATCTGTGTAAGTAACTTCCACTTATTCAACAAAATAATTTTACAAGCAAGTCAATTTATAGTATTCTTCAGCGTCCAGTGAGGTTATTCAGAGGATAATTTTATGTCCTTATTCATGCTGTTCCATTGCATCTATTCAAGTAGGGAGGTATAAAATTGTAATTATACAAGTATAGTCGATAGTGTCATATATGGAGGTTCCGGCCTGCGATAGTTTGACAGAAGCAGACTCCTTTGTCTTAACTTCATGATGCAGGGGTTCACTGCCAGAATTAGACTGTAATACCTTCATGGCGTTATTGCAAATTCTCAGGGAAAAAGTGTACAAGACAGCCATTTTCAGTTGCATAATGCTTTACATCTTCATTTTCCTATAACCGTTATGATAAGCATGAAATTTAAAGCAGAAAATTAAGAGGCTTGTTATAAGCCAGTCTACAAGTAATAGAAGCTGCCTTTCTGTTACTGGATCCAGCACCACTTCCCAAGTCTCAGTGCACGCCGTAGTTTGACTTTGCGTGTAGTCTTGGCTGATACTTAGAAAGTCACGGGGAGATGTATAGCTTGTTCCCAACCCTTTATTCGTGCCAGTAGACTGCATTGTCTTGCCTTTAAAATTGCAATGCAAATTAATTTGGCTTACAGAGAAAATGTAGGTACAGCTGAGTGTTCTCTTAAATATTTCCTGCTGCTGTACTTCACTGAATATAACTAATGCTTAAAAAAAAAAACTTCCTTCTTGTTTTAAAGCATATTTTCTGAGACCGTAATTCATCATGTTACTTTGTTTATGTGAATACTACATAACCTAAAATCTAAGATTTTGTGTTTTTCTTAGTCCTTTTTAATTTGGAAAAATTAATTAATTTCAGGAGGCCCTTACACATGGGAAGCAGAGAGTATAATGAATCCTTGATTTTGTGGTTTCGAAGACTTTCCAAAAGTGTAGAATTCTGCATAAAGGGATAGTCAGTCACACAGGGCAGAAATTAAAGGCTTGAGGCTTGGACTCTGTGGGTTATAATATGCGTGTTTTACAGTAAGTAAAATGCTAGATGTCTGGCTGGATACATTAAAATAATTCTTTCTTCTTCTCCTCTTAGCAACGTTCTACTGTTGCCTCTATGATGCACAGACAAGAGACTGTAGATTGCTTGAAGAAATTCAATGCAAGAAGAAAACTAAAGGTAAGAAAGAAAACTGCAAGGATGATAGATAATTTTGGAGAGATAAAAGTGTAAGTTGGCTTCTGTTCCATCTGCAAAACAGATGGTCCCTAAGGGAATTTCCTCTTGAATATTACTATCCAAGAAATATTGGATAGATGATCTGCTTTTAAGCATGGGGATCTTAAACTTTTAACAAAGATGAACAAAACGTAGCATGTCTACGTAAGCTATCCTGTTAAGTATTATAAACAACATGATGCTGGGTTCAGTATATCCTTTTGTAAACCTAATTGCATTTCTAGTCTATCATAAAGGAGTGTTTTAAGAAGGAAATTTTTTAATGAGTATTGCGTAGTTTTCTTGGATTGAGAATAATAACTATCATCTTCATTTATAAAAAGTAAAAATATTTCGTTGAAGGAAAAAAATCCCTAAGGCTATTCTTGTAGAATAGCCTTTCTTTTATTCTGATCAGCCAAAACAGTTACAAAAGTGAACATTTTTGATCAGCACATTGCAAATAAACTCCTCCTCCTACCCCCCAAAAAAGATTCTAAGCACACAGAACAAGTCCATTTCATTTTCAACTTTGTATTTTGTGATTCAGCTACTGATTGCTGTGCCTGTGAGTACTGAGGGGTTGCGCATTACATACTGACAGTTAGTAACTGCTTGAGATCACCAAGATGCCGAGAGGTGCATAAGTTACGCTTAAATTACAGTTTATGCATTCACAGCATCATGTATGACAGATAATGCACAGCAAATCCGTTCTTTCTGGGTTAGTTCAGCAATTTATGCAATTTGTGAGTGTATTTTCCTTTGTGTTGTGTTTTACACAAGAATTTTACACAAGTGTAATGCTAATTTGAGAAAATGTATTTGTACACAGGGGGCCATTTTGACAACTATGCTGGCTACCAGAAATTTCTCAGGTATGTTCATTGAGCTCCAGACTCATATGGCCTTGGCTTTCTGATGTTGATGATGAAGAAGATCTAGTTAGGATTTGTATAGTATAAAAGAACCTTTATTGCTGAGGAGTGTGTAAATATGGTACATCAAAGTTGTTTCTTTTACAGAAAAAAACAAGAAAATTAAACTATTTAGGCTAAATTCAATCTTTTCTAGATTACTTCAGCTAATGCAGTATTTCAGTGGAAAGTGTGTTCCTTCTCTTTACTTTTTTAGTGTTATCTGTAGTTTCTTGTTGAAAGACAGACAGTATTTTCCTGGCCATTTTGATGGAGGAAACTGAAAACAATATGTATAATTCCATACGTCTAAGTGTGGTCTAACAGCATTGAAAAAGTAATTTGTTTTTATATAACTGAAATCTCATTCCAGGATTTGATTGCATCGTATATTAAGAAAATATATGTTGTTCATTTTTTATTACTTTGCTGAGGAGTAAGAAGTAAGTTTAAAATGGTCCTTCTTCCTCCTTTCTTCTAATTCTAGTTTGATATAAAGAGATTTAGGTGTTTATACTAAATAAATTACAATAGTGGAGGCCAAAATATGTTTGCTGTTAGTAGGGTTAGAATTATCTGGAATAACAGTATGTCCAAAATTATGATGCTGTGCTCAATTTTTCATTTGCCATTCAAAATTCTAAGTGAATAGTGAAAAATAACACCAAATTTAAAAATCCATAATTTACAGTTTCTCCTACTCTGTGATTTAAGTGTTGGAGTGTAACTGAAATTAATTTACAGATAAAAACGTGATAGTGCTTTGGGCATGTTTTGAATATTAATAAGCACTGAATTATTCAAAATAAGTTAAAGAATTATGAATGGAAGAACAGTTTGTTCTATTTGCATAGTATTTAAAATGCACATCATCTTTCTGTACTAGGTTCCTGTATTTAATATATACGTAAAATAAAGAAGACCACATTTCTGTAAATTACATTGGGTTAATGCTTAATGAATTGGCAGTAACTTTCTTTTTCCTTTTGAAGATGGTAATGCTGTAGGTTGCATATCTTGTAAAAATGAATTATTTTAAAATATGAAACGATGAGTCATTTCTCATCGCTATTCATAACTGTAACTGTCTGTATATGTAAGGGTCAATTTTGACTTTCATGAAGGAAAAAAAGCCAAAGTCATTTAAAACATTATTTTGGCATAAAAACAAATAGGTTTTTTTGGCTTTGTTTTGGATTTTTTTCACCCGTCATCTCTGTTTTATACCATAATGATGCATAATGACATTTTACTTTTCAAGTTGTTTATTCATTGTATTCATTGCAGCACATGCTTTTGAAGGTCATTTGTCCATAGCAATGTGGTTATAAAAGTGTTTTATTTTCCTTTTTCTTTCTTTTATGTGGAATGTATATTCCTTGTGAGGTAAGACCCTCAGCACGTGAAAGGAACATCTTTTTTCTCTTCCAAATCAAAATTGCTGTTTGCCCTAAATCACTTTTATTTCTTCATATTGTCACAAACGCCATTTCTTTTCAGTTTGCTTTCTGGCTTACTAGCACTGCATAGGTTTTATTTATAGCTATTGCTTGTAGTTGCAAAAAGTCTTTCATTGCGGGCTTAATTTAGAATATGCTAATTGCTTTGCTACTGCAAATTTTTTGAATATTTGATCTGTATGCAGGATTTGTGCCTAGAGAAAGATGCATTAAAATATTCTTAAAAATACATTTCAAGTTAAAAACAGCAATGGCAGAAGCAGTTGAGTAAAAATTATGTTGTCTAACATGACATACTGCGTAATAATCTGAAACATTTCAAAGGACATGCTGGCAATGCCATAAGCACAATACTTGCAGTTATTCCTTTTGGTATCCTCATTTGACTTGTTTTTGTTTATGTTTTTGCATATAACAGGCAATATTTCCTAAGCATTGAAAAAACTCTGAAATTCTATACACAAGTTTAGCGAAAGGACCTGATTTGTTCTGAACAGCGGCCTATAAAAATTAATTTATGATTTCCCATATTTTTGTGAACTCTAACACTGTAAAACAGGCTTCGAAAGGAATCAATTTATGGAGGTTTTGGCCTTAGGTTTTAGAAGTAGTCCCCCCTCCTCTTCTGTCCATAAATTAATTTCAGAAGTTAATGGAGTTCCTAAATATTTGTGTTGTTGTAAAGTCTAACGATTGCATCGGGTTCAAAGCCTCGCTGCAACACGTTCTGTAAGCACACATTACAATGGGATGTATCTTATCTCAAAAATTTACATAAAATACTTTATTTTAAATGTTAACTTACGTGTGTATTATATGTAAAAACATTCTAGATTTCTGCTACATAATACAAACAAGTGGGTTTTTTTGTTAATCTTAGCTGGAAATCAGGGGCCTTGTCACATTTTTAATAGTAGTGTTTGCTGATGTCCATAATTATGAAAATGTATTTGGAGGAGTAATATACATTTGTTAAATTACAAACATTAACCCGACTTAATTGTCTGCTGTTAATGTGAACAGCACAATAATGGACATTAGCTATTTCTGTACAGTTTCTGGGGTGTTCTTACATTTTCAGTAGTCCAAACAAAGCTAAATGAGCTCTTGATGCAGATACAGCTGATGCATAAGCCACAAAGAGAGAAATGAACTTCAAGTTTAAACCAGATAGTCATTAGCCCAAGGCCCACCCAGCCAACTGGTTTTACCACTTCTCTTATGTGCTTAGTAATTGATCCCGTGTGTATTGAAGAGAAATAGTTACAAATAGCTTCTCTCTATGTAAATAGAAGACATAGAGCATATATGCACAAGGGCATGGCCACTGAGTACAAAGTAGATTCAAAAGGCCTAACTTCACATGTTCCTCTGAAACATTTAGCGTTTCTGATGCTGAATGGAGAGGGAAACAAACGTTGGTCACCTCTCATCAGAAGCAGCACTGAATTTTTTGAGTACTGTTTTAAGTAGCACCAAGTATTGTCCATGCAAGGGGAAGGAGGCTAAAATGTATGATGTTGTCCCCTCTTCCCGTTCTCATTCCTCTCTCCAAAATCCTGAAATAGTTTGAACAACCTCAGGCTGGCACGGCCCAATCATTTCATTTTTCAAAAAGAGAAAGAATACCTGTAAGGGTCGAGCTCCATGTCGTGTCTGTCTCCCCTTGGTTACACCACAGTTTTAGCCTGGAACATTTCTCTATCAAAAATGCTTCCTAATTCTAAGCAGAACAGCACCTTCTTTACAACCTAAACTACAATATATTTTCTAATAGATGAAGTTCATAAACAACAAATACAAATGCCAGGCTCATTTTGTACTCCGTTATTCTTCTGGTCTCCGGCAGTGACTCGGAAGCATTTACACTTGTGAATAGTTTAGTTGAATTTGGTATGTATTTCCCAGCATGTATTTCTTCCGCAGATGTTCACAATTTCAGGGTTTTGGTTTGCTTGCTTGCAGGTTAGCCCTCCAAATTTAGTAATTTGGACTAGTTTGACCCAGTTTAAGTGGCAAGATTTAAAGCCTAGTACACTTGTGAATCAAAGTTGCGACAAAATCTTTCCCATGAGATCAGATTGAAATTATAGACAAATCAAACACTTATTTTGAAGAAATTTGATCAGGGTGCAACAAGGTTCAGAAAGTCATAGGTTTTCCTCGTTAGAAATTGAAGCATAGCTACCATTCTTAATTATTAACTGCCCAAGAAACTTTCCTCTGAAACAAAACTTCACTACCAGATTGTTCTTCCTTTTGTATTTGCAACCTCCTTGTCCTTTTCAGTGAAGTTACTGATACTGTCATTGTGGGAGTCACCATTGCTCACAAGTGCTCTTTTATAGTTCAGTTGACTTTTCATTTATTGGAATAGATAGTCGTGTACCTGATTATACTTTTAAGGTACTTTACCCCATCGATTAGATGTTGCTTACTTTTATGTCACTCTCGTATTAATAACATCATTAAGGTAACAGTGAGCTCTGTGAACATCATATCAAAGTCCCTGCCATCAGAAGAGTACTGCTTCATAGTTGTATCAAACTATCCATGTCAACAACTGTAAGCATATTTCAGTCAAGAAAAGGAATGTATTCAAAGCTGCTTCTCCTCAGCCTATCCTACTTCCATTTCTTTTATGACACCCAGTAGCTTCTAACAACTGACAACAATTGTTTAGTTACCAACAGCCTTAGTCAATAGAAGAGAAGTATTACACTCCTCAGTATTTGTAGTTTCTTAAATACTATGAATATCTTATTTCCTTTACTTAGAGCAACAAAGAGAAAATAGAAACTGGAAATGTATGCAGCTGGGGGACAATGGGGGATTGCTGCACAGCTGATTGACCTCAGTAGTAACCAGCTGACACTGAAATTATTTCTCTCATTTTACAGCAGCCAAGAGTTTGCTGAAAAAGCCGGATGGAGTCAAGGTAGGTTAAATACGTTAAAATATGTTTGCTTATTCACTGTCTGTAACTTCTGCCAGTTTTTAGGCTTGAATATGGTTATTTCTTTTCTCTATAGAATTTGCTAAGTGCTTCTTAGTGCATATTTGAAGTGATTGAAGTTAGTTGAAAAATAACAAATGAAATAAAAGGAATAGTTGAAAAACGAGCATTTTAATAAGTGGAAAATAGAAAACTGCTGGAGAAAGAATACTTCACTTGCTATTTCAGTGAAGGGTGATTGTGTAATTAATGACTCGGTGTTATGAATTAGCTTATGAATATAAATGACGGTTTGCTGGTGGGCATATTAGTTTTTTAGGTACCAGTGCTTATCTGCAGCTCTGTTGCCTCCATGTTTCCCCTTGATTTTTCATTAGATTCCATGGAAGATCAAAAGTTTATTGGTAGGTTTGGCTCCACATGAAGCATATTCTGCCAGATTTACTTGGTACATTTGGCAGAACTTGAGGGGTTTAATATGTCAATAGATAAGTTTGTCCTTACTAATAGACCTTGCTAAGAAGGGAACATTTTGGCAGCTTTCATACATAATTTAGAGTTCGTATTATCATGTCACCAGATCCTGCAGGAGGATAGATGCTTCGCAAATGAACATTCTGGATAAATACTTTGAAAAACAGCCAGAAAAAAAAAATCACTCAGCAGTGAAAAATGTTTTATTTCTTTTCCTGGAGGACTCCTGAAGACTAAAATAAGCGCCTCAAGCTTTCATAACATGATTCGAAAGATTTTCTTCTGTGCTCTGTGTATTTTCTCAGGAGTGTATCTTTGACTTGAAATTTAGTTTTGTATTTAATCTTAACTTTTCACTCTAACAAAACTTTGTGTACTTCAGTACCAGATTCATGATATATTTATCCCTGCACTCCCAAATATGCACATTTTCCCTATCAAAATAATCTTGAGACTGACTTAAAATGAAGTGAGCACACTGTGATTTCAGTGCTTCTCCCTGACAAGTAATAGATATCTTAGCTGCATGGGGAAGCACATCATCTGTACTATTCTGTTATTTTTGTGGAAAACCCTTAATGTCTTTAATTGTGGAATATTTAAATTGTATGTACTCCAGCTGAATAGCTTTTCCTTTTAAAATATCATTCCTCCTACAGGTCTACAGTAGTATTTGTTAAACGTTAATTTTGATTTTTTATTGCAAACAATTGTTGCCAAAATTTTGCCTACATTCCACTTGTGGGGCTTTGATACTTTTACAGCACATTTTATATTTCTGCTGTTTTCCTGTGTGGTTATGTGGAGCAAAGAGAGTGATTATACGTCTGGGGAGGTCTATTTTCATCTTTTCTTTTATTGAGAAACTGTGTTCTCCATAGCATTTTTCTACCCCTTTCTACAGCTTAAGCTGTCTTTAAAAATAGAACAAACAACAGAAATATACTGTTCTCCATGCATTGCTACTTTAAATCCAACCAGTCACGTTTTCTTCTTTTCCTTTCTCTCTGACTGGTCAATTCAGAAAAGGAAGTCCAGTTCGAGTGTTCAGATGATGGTGAGGATCTTTATCTGACAGATTTTTCCTCCTGTGAAACGTTCACACTTAGAAATCAAACAGTTGCGTTTAGTTCTGTTAACATACTGTGAGAAGCTGCAAGACTTTAAAGTACAACCTTGTGAATTTTAAGCCTGCAGTTGCTATATGCCATCCACAGTGAATTGTTCTGCAGTTCTTTCAAACAAGTTTTTTATTATTTCAAACTGGGGACATGTAAATACAAAAAAGTAGATGTAACATTGGCCAATGCAGCTGTCCTTAGTAGATAAAAGTAGTAACAAAATAGTAATCTCATAACAGCCTTCCATTATTTTTAAAAATCTCTCTATATTAAAAGCTAATAATATTAATATAATAAAATGTAACACAGACTACATTGCTCTGCATAGTGAAATAGTATAGCTTTAATTGAGCAATGGTCAGGATGCGCTGCTAAATGCTCAGGAATCAAAAAACAACTCCACAGCCTGGTGCACTTTCCCAGCTAACTTCCTTCACAGCTCAGGGTGTTATCACCACGTGTCCCAAGTGACCGTCAGTCTCTCTAATTCTCTTCCTCCTTGACCTGCTCTACGGTTCTGCATTCATTTGGCCTCTGTGCCTCCATAGGGCAACTCATTATATTGCTGTTTATTATGGTTTTGAACCTGAATTTGGAGGTGTTTGTGATGATCTGCTCTGATGTCCCAGCCAGCTTCTGTTGCTGCTGAAGGTAGAAAGAAGGCAAATGTTTGTTGTTCACGCCTTTCTCTGGGAAGCACAGCTCTCCTTGAAAAGTAAAAAGTGCTAGTCAGATCAGAGTGGGCGTGTAGTTACACAGGTAACTATTCTGTTCTTCTTTGTGTGAATGTAGAATTTCAGTGAAAGAGTATCAGTGCTAGTGGTGTCCAAATGAGGGTCAGAGGACAGGTACTGTGGGGATATTTCTAGTATCCTAAACATGAAGCATGCTTTAACTCTGTGGTTACAAAAGTATTCTGTGGAGAAGTAAGTCCCAAGCTACAGGTTTTGTTCCTTAAAATGTTTTTATAAAATATTGAAAAAAGACCATTAATGACTCTACAGTCATGTCCAGCTGTTTACTGTGTTTGTGTGCGTCTGTCCTGTGCTACTATCAAACTTAAAAGAGTGGCTCTTGACAAGTAATGCTTTAGTATAAAAGTTTTTCTTCTTCATAACAAACAGATCACCAATTCAGTATAATTTAAATTTAGAATAGTTGTTTCACATGAAAATACTTTACTCCTTTTGGAATAGTTTCCCTTTTCTGTTAAAATACATGCAAAACAGACAAGTGTGTATTCATATATCTTAACAAAAAATCACATGTGTGTGTTACATGAGAGAGAGAAAGCGTACAGGCTTATTGCTGTTTTCTCTGTAAGCTTCAAAGGGTTTTGCCAAGTTCTGCTTATACAGAAGAAATAACTTTGTTTTAAGTTACATTATCTCTTTCTGCTTTTAGTAATGATTGCTGTGTTCTTGATATGTTACTAATAAGATTTGAATATATTTCCTGCAGTTTTCAGCAGTAGCTGTAATGGATATTGTTTATTTTTATAGGACTTTCACCAAGGGAGTATGGACCCAAGCCTGCTCTCCTTACTCAGGCAAAATTGGAGTTAAAATTTGATTAACCTGTTTTCATTATGTATTCAGCAACAAGCATTTTTTTGGCATATCACTTTATTTTTGGTATTAAGCTACTACTGAATGGGACTGTATGAAATCTGGGTGAAATCTTCATTTCCTTCGTCATGTTTTTGCTTTGTGTGTCTTTGTGTCTTTTATTAGTTACTTTTTGTTGGTAGTCTCTTGATGACTAAGCTGTCACCAAAATACGAACTTTTAGTTATACAAGTTGATGTGTGATTTTCTCTTGTGTTTGAAGACTTAGTATGCCATCAAGCAGTGTTGTGTGTGTGCTCACTACTCCATAATCCTCCTGTAGAAGTTCCATTTATTGAAGCAGTTGGGGGTTTTCTAAGGTTTTTCCTGAGTAAGGACTTCAGGTTTTGCCAATGTCACAGTCCCATAAGTATCTAAGCAAGTTAGTTATATAAAATACTCGCTCATATTTATGTCTGAAAAAGCTCCCTGTGAATGCCATTATGCACCAAGGTTTGGTTTCTCCCCCTGTGTTGAGTTCCGAGAGCCCAGCAACTTCTGGCTAAATTGCACTTGGAGTGCACAGTTGTGAGTAGATAAATTAAACTTCCTTGGCAATAACTAGTCTAAGTTGGGCCATAAAGTATAAACACTTGGAATTCAGTAATCACTCTTATTTTCTCTTAATGACAACTTCTGCAGAAAGACTAGTGTTAGAAAAATACAGATGTCTCATCCTCCTGCTGCAGAACACTATTAACTTTTGATTTTAAATTAAAGTTAAATTGTGGGAGAATGGGGCCTATCATAAATGTTGCTAAGTAAGATTTAGTTTGGAAATAATATTCTTCTGGCATTAACTAATTAGGCTGCAGTAGATTCCTGAAAGACAAGTCGAGTGCTGTTAAGATAAGGAAATTTGCACTCTGCACTTAATTAATGCAAATCCTGTCTGCATTTCCATAATCTGGGCGTGTCCTAAGCAAGACTTGAATTTAGCTACAGGCTTCATTCCCCCAATCAGTGAGTCAGCTGCTGTACCTGTACCAAAGTGAAATAATAATGGAAAACTGCTGAGGATATTATGTTCAGTGGATTTCACCAGTGGTGTAAACTTCTGAAGGCTCAAATTTAGCAAAGCCTTAGCACTGACAAAACTTAAACCTGCACCTCTGAGAAGTCGAGTACCTCACCTGAGACTACAGAATCATTGGGAAGCTTGAATTAGAAGTCAGATATTTCTAACGCAGCTCAGTTTGATCCACTGTTCTAGGACATTCCCTTTCTTTATGCTTTTTCATATATACTATTGAGGACGTCATCATTTTCTAATTGGTTTTAGAAAGACTTTTCTTTAAGAACAAGGCTCATAAGCTGGCTCAGAGTATTGCGAGAGTTTGTTTCTTTAAATAGTTAATTTTTTACAAAAAAGCAATTAATGAAAATGATGTATTTTTGTTCTTTTGCTTTGCATGTTTAATGTTAAGTACTGTAAATATATAAGGTTCAGTACGATGATTTTTTTTTTTTGATCAAAGTCTTTCCAAACTATATATCTATATACAGCTTTGCCTGCTGTTTTGGACCACTCTTGTTAAAATTAGACATGACCAAAATGTTTATGAAAAACTTTTCTAATAATTGTCAAAGACAAAAATGACGTTTCAAACTAGTTTTATCTATACTTCAGTATTGTTTCCTAGTGTATGTAAAAAGTAGTTTGGTACCTGATGTTTAATTTTTTTCTACTTTTCATACCACAGTATTTAGAAAAGTGACTTCTTAAAATGAATTTAAAGAATCGGATATATTTAAACTTACTATTTACATCTTTTTGAGATAAGTTTAAGAACTAACATGACTATCCACATGTAAAGTTAGGTAGATATGTAGTGGTTTGTAGATTAAGACTGCAGAAAATGTAGTGTGGAACCTAATACTTTCGGAGTATGGTACCAAAATCGAACAACTGATATGCAGTTACTGCAGCATATTGAGAATGGAAAAATCAGAGCTGGCAGGTTTTTTTTGTCTAAAATAATACCAAGAAGCTAAAGGGGCACCAGTCTATTTCCAACGTCGGTTATATTTATGGTATTACATTCCCAGAAGTCGGTAGAACTATAGATTTCTAAAGAGCTATGAGGAATCAAATGCTATTTATGCTAGTGATTGGTAATTAGAAATAAAGTATAACTGGGCACAGTTATTTAATACTGTTGCGTGATTAGAAATCACAATCACAATTTAGGACTCTGTTTAATAAACCCATATTAATTCTGTAGTCGTCTTATATGTGTTTAGCTGCTTTCTAAAGGCTCTCCGTTCTTTTAAGTGTTACAGCTGAAGTCATCTATACCTTATATAGAACTTCCTAGAGTGCATCTGAAAACCTGTAGCTGGCACGTATGGAGGAGTTACAGCTAGCTATCAAATCTGTTGTTATTGTTCCTTTCAAGTTCATAAGCTCATCTTTCTGTGATTCTTTATTTCCATATCTATATCTATATATAGATATCTATATCTGTATATAGATGTTCTATACAGAGAGATATAGATACGGTGCCTACTGCGAGTTCTAAGGCTTGTCTGTTTCTGTTTTCTGCATACCTACAGATAAACAACAAAACCAACGTGGTAACCAGCCCCAAGGAAAATATTCCTACCCCAGCGCTGGTATACCTGGAATCTTCCTTCTCATGCTGTCTTGAAGTTTTTGACTGTTTTCTGTTTGTTCCTTCTCCTTTTTTGCTTTTTTATGTGTTTACTCCGTTTGCTTTCTAAAAACAGGTTTTGGGAAAACAGCTTTTTGTTTGAATTATGCTTTTCTTTTTTGTGAGGAAGTCCATTGTTAAGCATTGTATCTATTAGTAGAGAAGGTTACATGGAAGCTGGATGCAGTAGAGTCATAGCATTTGTACCTGTAGCTGAGTTTTTTGCATGCTGTGCCAGAAAGTTAATAGAATGCACTTTATGTTGCTCTTAGCTGTTTGTGTGGTGATTGTTTCAATCTTTTAAATGATAACCTTTTGCCAAAAAAGCTCTATTATTTTCTTTGCTTTTGTTTTAATATTAGTATTGATATCAAGGAGAGCTGAGAGGATTATTGCCGAGCAACCATAAAAGAGACCTTATTCAGATTTTCATTCACTGTTCTGTAAAACTCAGCAGGACTTTGCAAGTCTTCACTTACTGGGATCAAGAGGCATCTAGTCCTAAAGCTTTTTGCTGGTTTCTCTTACACTTAAATCTGTAGGAGACATTACCCACTAATAAGGTCCGCAAAGAACATATCAGAGGACTGTTCATAAATATTTATATCACAATCTTGCTTCTGTTAATAACTCCAATTTGTCAGGCATACATGTGTCACAGGGCTTACAAATAGAAATGCTAGCACATAAGTACCCGATTTTGTGAAGTATTGTTTTCCATGTGATCGACACTTTGAAAACATACATGCAAACACACACTGGGAGAGATTTTTCCTCTTCGCTCTTTTTGTGCAACTCACAATGAAGTGTACGTTCCTAAGTAATTTCCAAGCACCAGTTTACAGGTTTATGTGAGAGTATATGGCAGGCTATTCCCGGACATCACTATATACAATAGTACATGCTGAAAGTATGCTGACTAACTGCTATTTCAAGCATTATTTTTTTTTTTTAAAGGGCAAAGGATTTGGGGAAATTACATTTTAAAATGACACAAAGACCTCCCACTGAACTCTGTGCTGCTCTGCCAGGGCAGCAATTGCTAATAGTCTACATATTTCCAAACATGGTGATGTTTAGAGGTAGCTAACTCTTCCTGAGTCCTTATCAATCCATCTGTATTTTTATTTGATCACTTTTTTCTTAGTACTAATGCAAGCAAATGTGCTTAAAGGAAGGAGGTTATTGTTCTTCACCCTAGCAGCTCAGATAAGAAAATGAGCAAAGCATTTAGTATGAGACCTTATGAAAACAAGAGCCTCTTCAGGTCTTCAGAGCTTCAAAGCCCTGTATATGTTGATCATGAATAAGGTCTTTGCATGCTGCTGAATTAAGAGAGAGGGTCTTTTTTTGCTGGCTTGCTGGTTGAGGGAATCTGTATCAGAGAGATCCAGTTTCATCCACTGGCTGCAGTTAACATTTGTTGTCGCTCTTGTCACTGTTCAGCATTTGTGAGCTGGCTCTTCTTGCACGCCCTCACCCTAATGAGAATGTATTTACCAATGAGAATTTTCTCTTTATTTTGTTCTCACTCAGGAGCCCCAAACTACAGTAATCCACAACCCTGATGGAAATAAGGTATTCAGAAAGGACCGACTCCATCTTGCTTTTCCAAACCACACATTTCATCCATTGTTCTAAAGCAGAATAGGGCCATTCCAAGAATTTATCACGGAAAATCTCATTCCTGTATTTGTCACACCTGGTGTCTCTTGGGCCTGTTTCGTCTGCGTTCTGTTCCTGCTGCGTGCGTGCTGCTGGTCGCTGAGCTCCTGAACTCTTGGGGGAATCAGTAGCAGTTGACAGTGTTCAGTACCCTGTGCAGCCAAGCACGCGGGGTATTGTTTGTTTCTTGTTTCAGACAAAAATTTCTACATTTTAAATAAAATGAAAGAATGCTGTTCTCAGAGCGCGGTGAGATTATATCGAAGACTTCTATGTGGCGTTATCACCTCAGATAAAGGCATACTTTCAGCTCATCCCATCTGCTGTTTCTCAGCATGCTTAAACACCATGCTGTGATGTGTCTTTTGCACTGGACTTTGGTTTTCTTCCATAACATCACTGAGCAGTTTCAAAAAAATTTAACGTTTCAAGTTAAGGAGCTCTTTTGATTTTTATACATTTTTCATGCTGTTTTCTTTTTTCCTGTGTATTGTGGTGTTTGTGTTTGGCAGCTGATTCCTAAAACATGTGTTCTATTTTATTTTTTTCGTGCATAGGCTTGAAAAGGGTCAGGAAATATCATCATTTCCATATAACACATGTTCCTAGGTTTCCTGCAAAGAATTTCTCTTCAAAAATAATCACTGTTTACAGTATTGACTTTGAGAAAACCGTCGTATCATTTAGCTAGTCTACTTACCTGTGGTTATTGTATATGTAAAGGATTGAATCTGTGTGAAAAAATAATGCATGCAGACATTTCTCAAGCATGGAAGAAGTGCTGATAGTGTGTATCGTGCTTGCATATACCGTTCGTTTATGTATCTTGCATTTGTAGAACATAGCTTTTATTTTCATCTTACTACTTTTTCAGCTCCCAAAGTTTATGTGCATAAGGGAACGAACAGCGTGTGTTTGATTTCTAGTCTAACCTTTATCGCTAAAGCCACTAAAGGCCACCCCCCCAAACCCAAATAAAATATTGGCATGACTACATCTACTTGACTTTATTATATAATTATTAGCAATTCAGATATTTAATGTCCCAAAAGGTCACAGTAGACAAGCAAACCACTCGGTGTGGAGAGCTGCTCCTAAATTTCTTTGTCTGAAAAACTGAGTGTTGTTATACTATGGCAACTGGAGTGGATGCTTCGATATTACAGGCAACATCTGCTGTGTGAGCTTGTGCATGGTGTTTACAAGTTGTATGTGTGTGGAGTTTTTATTTACTTAAAAGTACTCTGTCTAATATACATAACTGATACCTGAGCATGATACCTCTGTGTAGAGTGAAACACCTAACACCAGCCGGAGTAGGAGAAGCATGGTGACTTATTTTGTTTGTGTGTGGACTGATTCATGTAGTTTTATTTATGGATGCCCATACATTTTGTTTTTTAAGGTCTGAGTAGTGCATTAACTGTTTTGAACGTTCCTTTGGCTCAGTAACGGACACTGTCAAATTTATTTTTTATTATTTGATTATAAACACTTCCAAAGAGCTGAAAACAATACCACTGCTATCTTCCATCTTTCAGATAAAAATAGCCCACATAATTCTTTTTGTTATTGAGCTGTGACTTAAAAAAAATATCTTTTCAAAAAAGTGGACAAATAGAAAATCAAGTTTAACAACTGTATATTTTTTTAAATGTGTGCCTATTAGGTTTGACAGTGTCCTTTTTGAATTTATCCCTAACATTTCATGTTTCTGGTAATTCCTGGAAGACTAAGATACAGTATCCTTGCCTTTTTAACAGTGTGGTGGTTTAAGTATAACTGTCTGGTAGACAAGTCATTCCTCCGGATGGCTGGCGATTTGAAGAATACTTCCACAAAGATAACCTTAGTGTATAAAAGTTGTCCTCATAAATTTATCAGTTCTCTGTCTCCTTCACAATTTTTATCACAACAGTATGAAAATGATATCCAAAATTGTATCCAGTTTTCTTAAGATCCCTAGGAGCCTTTTATTTGTTCTAATATACATTGCATCGAGTCTTAAGCGAAGAAAGAAGCACTGCAAGCTGTAGCATGCAGAAGTCTGCATATTTACAAATTGGAATGGAATGACTTATTTTACACAGTTGGTTAATCACTAAGCTTAAAATGGCAAGCTCTCCTCCTGGGCTGACGTAATTCATACAACATTTCAGATGGACTTTGTACAGTTAGATGTTAAAGAAAAACAAATTATTTTTACATTCCTGTGAAGTCAAAACATTAAGACAGCAGGAACTGTATTTATGCTCCCTTTTGAAATGAATGGGAGTGTTTGACATCAGTTTCAGGTGGAAACATCTCAGTCTATGTGTGACCATTTGTTGGTGAATTACATCCCACTCTGCTTCAAGGCTTTGCATGATCTCTGTAACTAACTGTACTTTTCATAGACACATAAATAAGACTTGTTGCATTTTATACATTCTACTTATATTTACTTCTCAACAGGAATCAACAGAGAGTTCCAATACAACCATTGAAGATGAAGATGTGAAAGGTATGATTTTTAGGCTTGAAACATTTGGGAAAGCAGTAACATAGATTATTTGAAATAATTTCAGAAGGTCATTAAAAAGTGAAATTCCTAATGAATCTGAAGGGAGAAGGATTTTTTTTCTCCTTGGTTAATTAAATGATTTTTGCACACTGTACTACTTCTGATGTTTTCAGACTTAACACTGAGTTTTCATGTAGCAAAATGCAATTTGCCATGGTTTTTTGGAATGAAGAATATAAAATTACTGCTTATTGTTTGAAGTATTAGTCCAGTAATAATATAAGTTGATTAAGAATTTATAATTCAGTGCTTTCTAACGCAGATTTAATTCATGTACTTTTAGCATGTGTGGAGTTTTCTTTGTGTTTTTTTTTTTTTTGAGGTCAGCATTTTAATTTTTATTCTGTTCAGATGCCAGTGTTTCATTTTGTTTCTCTTTTGTTCTGGCCATACAGTTATTTCAGTCTTCTTTTATTGTTCAAAAAACTAAAAACAATGAATTTGCTATAAAATCAATTCAGTAATCTTGCAGAACTTTCCCCTTTTGCTCCAAATATTATACTGTGATATTGCTCATACTTATTTTAATAATATTTTGTTTTTAAAACTGTATTGTGCTTGCGAATGGTTGGTTTGCAGAAGCGACTGTTTTTTAGCATCAAAGTACGATGTTATACGTACAATTGAAACACAAGCCAGAGATGATAGTAAAAAAAAAAAAAAAAAATTAGAGAAAAGGAGAGAGAAGGTGAAAATTCTCAGTTAACTGTTGTAGTATGGGGTATGCTTTATGTTGTAAGTAGTTACGTGCCCATAGGAGTCACCGTTACTGTTTGTGTTAGCAAAGCTGTGCACGGATTTGAACCTGCTGGAGATCTTTGTTGGCTCCAAAAGAGTATGGGAACATTTTAAAATTTAGAAGAGATTCAAACAGAAGGTAGTTTGAATTGTATCAAAAAAACCTAGTGTTTTGTTTCTAGTTGATAGAACAGGTGCTATCCATGTTTGATAAAAATTTCAATGTTGCCAGAATAACAAACTGATAAGTGTCCTGTTTTAGGATTCTCTGGCATTTGCTAATCAAACATTACACAAGGAAAACAAGATAGCCTAATTTCTTTAATGAGACATGCCATTGTCTTAGCTATAGTCCAGAAGTCCAGATGAGCATCATTAACCTGGCGATATTGTGTATGCTTCCTGTCCTAAGCAAGTCATTTCTTTACTTAATGAGGAAACAGCACATTTACACACAGTCCGTAAGGGCAGACAAATTCCGATTCCGCTCTCCTTGCATGTGCTATCAAATCTTTTCCAGGGTTCATATAGCATATTTGTTATTCTGCTGAGTTTATTTTTGTATTTCAAATACTATCATTTCGGCAGAATCAATAACATTGAAGAGATTTAAAACATTCGCATAATCTTGCATCTTGAGAAGATGCTAGTTGACTATTCAGTTGCTGCAAATGTTGTGAACCAGAAGATCAGGAGAGGCAGCATGAGTATTAAAGCTAATCCCAGCCCTATGCCCCATAAGGGAAGAGCAAAATGAATGCAAGATTTCTATCCCCTTCATGAAAATTCCTCTAATATCCAAATTTTAATGACCTACTTATGAGCTAATTTCCTCCTCTTCCTGATAGGTTTTGAAAAATACTATATTGAATGTATCGTTATGGTTCCCTTAGTTATCTCCCAGTGATGAGAAGGAGGAAACTCACGGGGGGAGAGGACAAATTCTTATTCGGAGCAAACTTAGCCATTGAACTTTTTTTATATTACCGAGGCTTACTGCGCAGATGTGAGACCAACAAACAAACCTGCAAATATGCTTTGGAGAAATATGTAAGGCCATCCTTTCTGAGTAACAGTTTGTGTTCTATAGGATATTTATAAACTTTCATCCACAAAGTAAGGAACTTGCATTTTTGAAGACAGAAGTTCACTCACTAGGGTTTGGGTAGTTGTAGCATAACATTCATTAAAAGGTGAATAAAATTAAAATTTACTTACAATAATAAAGCACTATAAAAATCCATTATTTAATGTAGGTTTATGACTCTTCATTAGCTGTTTTTGAGACTATATACCTTTTAGATAGGGAATGCATTTCTTCTTGTGCAAAAACAGAATTAAGAGTTTGTAATTTCTGTGTACACCTGGATACAAATGTTCAGTATTAATAATACAAGAGACTTCAGGAGCTTAAAATCATGTTCTTATCCCATGGGTTGTCAGCTTCATTGAACAAACTGACAGTTAGTGGAAAAGATGGACTCTCGTTTGTTGGAAAATCCAAGTAATTGTTAGAAGGTTGATTAGTGCCTTCAGATCGTACTTATTTTACTGATGCAAAAAGTATTTTTGTAGTGTTATGAGCAAATCATTTGTAGTGGTGTTCCCTCTGTAAAAACAAATTAAGTGGCACTGAACATCACTTTAGTGTTGAAAATACAGCAGATACCATTTTCATTGCAAATATGCCATTTTGCCTGGCTTTTTTCAAAGTACTTTGAGATTTGAAAATGCAGATTATTTGGCATTGGCTTTACCAGTATGTGACACCCTGAATCTGTTTTGATAAACCTCTTACGTTCTGAACTTTTATGGTCCTAACGATGAGCCTGGGAAAACTCTTGAAGCTTAACAGGAGTTTGGAGTCGCTCTGTGAAACACTAGTCACACGGTAGCAGCTGTTGAAGGAGTTTACGGAGTGAGGCACTGTGCTGAAAATACAGACTTTATGTCATGCTTTATGTAAGCTCCATTGGGCATTTATCTCATGGCATCTTAGCTCAGGCAGTCAGAGCACACCTGTAGTATTGCTGTTTCCTTTTTCTGCTGTGACTCTTGTCACTGCTTTGGGAAATGCTGAGGAACTCAGCTGGTGTACAGGCTAGTATCTGCAGTCTTCTGCACTGAAAGAAGTGGTGGAGGGAAGATTTTCTGGGTGTGCTCCCTCATTGTCTCACACCATGCACTGCTAGTAACAATGCAGCTGTAAATTATGATTTTTATTACTGCATGAGCTGGAGTTAGCTCTAATTAAGTTGTGGATACAGCGCTTTGTTCTCGAAGTTTTGGTGAATCATTTCACCTCCACTTGAACAAATTCTCAGGCACATTAACAGCCGATACCCACTAACTTTAAATAACAGCCTGTGATAACAATTTGAGTTAACGGAAAGTAATGGCTTGGAGAACAATTACAGGTATCTGCAGCTGATGTAAAGGAAAATGCAGTGTGATTTACCTTTATTCATAACACTTTCTATTTCCTCCTTCAAACCATTATATGTAGTTTAGCAACTAACCTCATTAAATGAATAATTTAATTATAGGGCCTCTGCACAATGATATAACACCATGTTGTAACTATAGAATTTTATCTGTAACTTTTTGTTTGAAGCATAGCACATATAATTGTATTTCTGAGATACGATTTTAAGAAAAACAGCAATGCAAATGTTTTGCCTAGCACTTTTATTTAATTCTGTAATATCACCATTAAGGGCAGATGACCATTAAATGACCATTGCATACTTTATTCCTAAAACAAAAAAGAGGATCTTTTAATCATGGGTCTGAGAGACGAGATATTTGTCATATTCTTCTTTCTGCTGAAGCTTAGTGACAGATGCAAAACATTTAGGAGATGAAGTTTCTGCCATTTGTAGGTTCCTGACCCTTTACTGCATAATGATACAAAGGGCAGAAAGTGAGTGAGCTAGTAAGATGAGCTGGGGCTGCACTGTGGTGGGAGTGTTGCGTCGTATATTTTTCGGATGCTGCATGAAGAGGAACTGAAAGATGTTACTGTGTTTGCAGTAAAGTAAGCAGAATACAATGTGCTGTTGTTCTTCACTTGCTCTGGTAGGAAGGTGGGGAAGCTTTCTCCCATCTGTGAATGACGGTTTGAACCGTAACATCTGGGATAATTATGGGAACCTCTTACACTGATGCAACTGTTAGAGCATTGGGTCTGTGGCTTAACACTTGGCATTTGCTATTTATTGCCTTAGGTTCACCAAATGCTGGGTGCATGTTTTATTCCAATGTGTGGGGACTTCATTTTCTGTTTATTTAAATACCAATGTAATCTCCCGGTTGTTAATTGCTTGCAAGCTTGCCTGTTTTTTACTTTTTAATATTCTTCTCATGCTTCTAATCTTTCCACCTGAGGCTGCTCTTCAGAATGTTTTATTGTGAATTAAAGCCAGCAGTACCCTTAGGGTCTATTTCCTAGGATGATTCAGGGAATAAGTAGTTTTGCAATTCTGACTTTAGGAAAGATACTTTCCTTCTGTACTACACTTGGCCTCTAGGCGTAGATTTTCTGCGAGAAGGGTGAAAAAGCTCTTTCTGTTTTAAGGTTCAGGTACTGGCTACAGCTGGAGATGAGATACTGATTGGGATGAACGGGTCTCTGAGGTAGAAGAGAGAATATTCTCAGATTACTTACTATCTGTCTTTACACATAAGCTCGAGATGATACTTTTGAGCTGTAGAAGAAATGTTCCCCAGCTTAGGTAAAAAAGGGATCTTCAAAACTTTTTTGTCTTTCTCCAATGCATGGGGTATGATTTGTCTGTTTGGAATATTCCGCATCTTACTGATACATGGGTCACTCTTGAAAAAAATGTGGAATTATCATATATTTGGCTAGAACTCAGTAACTGGTGATTTCTCTGAGGACGTTTTCAGCAGTATTGTGATTCTGTAGGCTTTGTCACTTCTAGAATTGGAGGAGCACATGCTATCAAAGAGGTAGAGGCTCTCTCCTTCTTCCTGTGAAGAAGGGAAGTGAGGATGCCACTCTGTAACTAAAAAGTAAAATTAACAAATGTTTTATGGAATTGCACCTCAAAGAGAATGGCTTTTCTTTGTTAGGGTGTGCAGTCTATGCGCTTCATTCCTCCTGCTGTTATTCTAATACTGTGCGTAAACTGCACAAACCGCCATAAGGTCCCTTCCTTTGTACAGACTAGCAGCCCACA